AATCCACTTTGGGTGCTGTGATTGATGACACTGATGCTGCACTTGGGAAATATGGGAGTATGACTGAAACGGTAGCCAAACTGCATCCCAAGTACCAAGATACGCAGCAAGTTGTTAAAGGAGCACAGGCGAGACGGAATTTCCTGAAGAACACAATTACTCGTTTAATGCAGATTGCAGGAACAACTCCAAATTCTCCTGCAACCACTACGTAGTTGCAACCTGAATCGACAGAAGTGGGGCCGTCTGTGGGATTAGGCAGTGCAACAACAGAAATTCAACAAGAGGTGCCACCAGTAGATGAAGAGCCCTTGGAGATTGAGCCTTTGCAGAGTGCTCCCTATGAAGGTGTACCGCCACCACCTCCTCCTGCTTAGAAAACACTTGTTGCATTACTCCTTGGGCTGTAGAGCCTTCTGCTTTTGTTTATTCTGCTTGGTAGTGTTGATGAACTTTGCAGCGATTATGTTCCTGCACAAACTTTGTGGTTTTTTTGTTAGTAATAAATATCTTTGCTGCTTAAGTATATCTGTTATGGGCAATATCCCTTAACAATTGTTGCTCTTCATTGTTGAGTTGATCTCATGCAGTAGCAAAATATTTTTACAAAAATACAGCATTGATAGATCTATCTTCAACTGTTCCTTCCATGTCTTTGAAAATGTACACCTCACGTCCTAAATGCTGGTGTATGATGTAAGGACCTTCCTAAGTAGGGCTCCATTTTCCATAAGCGTGATCTTTATAACCAAAGGCAAAACGGCTCTCTATACTTTGAGAACAATATTAAATTACTTATGTCGAACAAATTTGTTGTAAGCACGGATGATTCAAGCCTTTTGATTAATGATATTTTATGTTGCTGAGTTTCAGCTATGGGAGATGTTATCTTGATTAGTATGCATTGCTGTGGCGTAGTCGGCTGAATCTAAGGGAAATTGTTGATTAATCCTGAGAGAGGATAGAAGATGTTCAATGGGTAAAATGGCATCATGACCATAAACCAATTCATATGGAGTTGCCTTGGTGCTACCCCGCTGCGTCACTCGGTATGCCTATAATGCTTGTCGCAGGAAATCATGCCGTTGTCTTGGATTATCACAGATTGTTTTCTGGATGATTCCCTTCAATATCTTATTTTTTGATTCAACCTGACCGTTTCTTTGTGGGAAATATGGTGAAGAATGTGTTAGAGTAAAACCCATATTTTTGGCAAACTGCGCCATGTCTTGACCAATGAGGTATTGTGCTTGATCCGTCGTTATTGTTTCAGGTAACCCAAACCTATAGATGATATGTTCTTCTAGGAAAAATATGACTGCTTTTTGATCAACGTCTTTCAGAGGTACTGCTTCTACCCATTTGGTGAAATAATCTGTTGCTAGCAAAACATAACAGTGCCCAAAAGATGATGGTGGATGTATCATGCCAATAACATCTAAAGTCCAACAGCGGAATGGCCATGGTTTGACTATGAATTGCATTGGCTCTGGGTGTGTACGCGGAATATCTGCATGTTTTTGGCAATTAACGCACCCTCTAGCAAAATTGATGCAATCTTGGGTTATAGTTGGCAAAAAATAACCGTGGCGGAGTAGTAATCAAGCCATTTTGCGTCCGCCTTGATGAGCTCCAAAGAACCCATCATGTGTTTCCAGCATCAACACCGTGTATTCTGGCTTACCTAAGCATCGAAGCAAAACCTCACCTACTATTTTCCGATATAACTGCCCTTGCAACAAAACATAGTTAGGCACTTGTCGCCGTATAGATAATGGGGTATGATGAGTTGGGTCCTCTAAGAACTTTATTATCAGTGTACGCCAATCTTTTGTTTTATTAACGGTTGCCACAGGAAGGACCTCCACGGGATTGCATCGGACATATGCCGGAGTGTCGAAATCCACGGTGTCATAAGCAATATCTTGACCAAGTGGCGTTTTGAGATATCTGGAAGCTAACTGTGCCATGTCATTGGCATCGACATTAAATTCTCTCCCAACATTCTGTCCTTGTGGAGGAGTAACTAGTATTCCTGCGCCACTACGTGTGAAAGTTCTAGATCCGTCAAAATGTACCGTCCATAGAGGTTCTTCCACATGACGCACCTGGAACGACTCAAGGAATTCACCGTCCCAATCATCGTCAAGTGAGGGATGTAAAGCTAGGAAATTTGCTAGCACATGCCCCTTTACCGCTGACTGGGGTACATGTTAGAATTGATACTACATCAAGGCCAGGAACCATTTTGCTTTTCTGCCACTCATGGTTGGCCGGTGTAACAAGTACCGGACCAGGTTGACTTTGCTGACGACGCACACTAAACCAGGAAGCATATAGTAGGGTAACTTGGTCATAGCAAAATACAATACAAAACACAACTTTTCAATCGGAGGATATCTGCGTTCTGTGTTAGTAAGCATGTGGCTTAAATAGTAAATGTCTCTTTCAAATCCGTCGTGGCCATCCTGAGCTAATAAACAACCTAATGATTCCTCGGTCACTGACATGTAGAGTTTTAATGGCTTGTTCTTGATAAATACAACCATAACTAGAGTAGTAGATAAAGCCAGCTTGATATCCTGGAATGCTTGCTGTTGCTCTTCCTTCCATACAAAATCTTCAGCCGCTTGAACCTTCAAAAGTGAAGAAAATGGCTTCAACTTCTTAGAGAAGTTGGCAATGAATCGGCGAAGAAAATTAACTTTGCCGATCAGAGTAATTTTTTCTTTGTCCGTGGAGGTCTAGCTTCCATAATCGCCTTGGCCTTTTCAGCATCCACTTAAATGCCCATGTAATGAACTAAGAAACCAAAAAATACATCCGAAGTCACTGCAAATGCGCATTTTAATGGGTTCAACTTTAACTGATATTTCCGCATACGCTCAAAGCATTGACGTAAGTGTTGCAGATGCTCTGGGAAGGAATGTGACTTCATTACCATATCATCTATGTAAACCTCCAAAACTTTCCCAATAAGGTCATGGAAAATACAGTTCATTGCCCGTTGGTAAGTTACTCCTGCATTCTTTAATCCAAAAGGCATTACCTTCCATTGAAAAATGCCTAATGCTCCAGGCGCACGAAAAGCAATTTTGTGGACATCTGCAGGAGCTATGAAAATTTGGTTGAATCCAGCGTTGCCATCAACAAAGCTCGTGACTTGAAAACCCATCAATTTGTCAATTAACGTTTCCAAAATTGGCATATGATATTAATCTTTTGGTGACGCCAAATCAAGATTACGGAAGTCTGTACAAACTCTTGTTTTGTCGTTTTTCTTGATAACAGGAACCATATTGGATAACCATTCAACATATACTGCTACTTTGATGAAATCAACTACTAGTAGGCGTTCAATCTCTTCCTTAACTTTGACGACAACATCTTCAGAAAACTTCCGTGGTGGTTGTTTGAATGGCCCGAAACCCATCCTCAAAGGGATACTATGCTCAACTAAATGCGATCTACACCTGGCATCTCCGTGTAGTCCTATGCAAAACAATCACGGTATTGCTGCAACAAAACAATCAATTGTTTCTTTCCATCGGCTGTTAAGGAAGAACTAATGTTAGTAGGTTTTTCATCACCTGATGAATTACTGCGTCAACTGGCTCTTTGGTGACAACTGCGTCATCGCATAGTTTTGGTGTTGCAGTGGCCAATTCATTCAATTCTAGGACATCACTGTCAGAGATCCGACAATATCATAAATCACCTCATCCCAACATACTGTAGCGTATCAGTTGCATGTCGGCGTTCATTTTCAAAATATTGCAATATGCACCGAATTGCTTTCTGTTTCTCTTTCGCTTTAAACAACTCAAAATCTAATTCTTCTGCACTCAAAACTTCTAGCTGTTCAATTTTCTTCATTGGAAACATCTTCTATAGGTGGTGCGGCTGGCAACGGCCTTAACACGTTGTAATTGTACGGCATGTTGACTTTTTACCATAGTAACTTCCATTCAGAAATAGTCATATCTCTGCGCATAGTGGCATGTTTTGACCGACCATACTTGTCCAGCCGATAAGCCGGTACGGACCGACTTCTTCATCATACTAATAAGCTTCCACAACATTAGCTTGTGTTGCGAAAGGAATTGTGTCGAGTGTAATGATTTCTGGACCTTCTACTCCCCACAAAATAATTGCTTGATGTAGAGAGGAAGGAATGCATCTTGCCAAATGAATCCAGTCTCGTCAAAGGAGAGCATTGTAAGATGCTTTGGTGTCAACCACAAAGAACGCTGATACTACCATCTGCGATCCTACTTCCAGTTGTAATGGTAGAATTTCTTTGGTACTTGTGACATCTCCTGTGAATCCACTCACAAAAACTTCAGTCGGCACTAGATCCTTTAATTGCTTACCTAGATTATGCAATGCCCTTGATGGTAGAATAATTGTAGCTGCACCGTTGTCTACTAATACTCTTCTTAATGGGATCCCATCCATAACCACGAAAATGCACAATGGCCTAATATGAGATGCATCATCTTCTGCCGGTTGTGAAAGCATTATAACCGAATTCTTTCCTTCTTGTGACACTAAATGAATTCCACCGACTGTAGTAGCATGTGGTTCCGTTACAATCGAAGTTGCTTCTGGAACAGCAACCCAGTTTTCAACAGTCTTTGTAACCAAGGCTGTTGCAAGTGGAGGGGTTTGCAAATAAAACGACTTCGACAATGTGTAAAGCATATTTTACGGTGGGAAATATATATCTGACTTCCCCCATAGTTGTGATCGTCTTTCTTCTTGTATTAAGAACCTGATCAACGACATCTCTTGTTCAGTTGGTGATTCAGACTTTGGAAGTATTTTCTGTCTCTTAATCCGCCCTGGCTTTCTTATTTTATTTCCCTTTGAGTCCTGGTCATTTTGGCTCCGGTCGATGTTTGGTTGGGACATTTCAAATGTGTTACACGATGCCATTCACCATCGGTTGCTGACGACGGTTTAATAGTCCTTAGTGGGCCGTTGCTCTGTCGTGCAGGTCATCCAATCCGTTGCCATACCGACTGGCGGTGATTCTGACTGGTATGTTGATCATTAACCCGTTCAGCGTGCATTGGCTTCCCCAATCTCGACTGCACTGGTAAATGCCTTGGAGACGGAGTAGTCACATGTTGCTCTTCTGAATGCTGCGCATTTGGGTGTTGATGTTGATTCAATGCACTCAAAATAGAATCTGATCTAAGTGCGTTTCTTTCGGCACCCATGTCTGTGTTTGCCCAGTGATTACAATATTTACTTCTATTGTAGGTGGACGTGAAGTTATTCGATGTAAGTGTACCCTGAACTTAGAACCTAACTCTTGAAGCTGACATTTCACTTGACTGAAGACTTTATTACAATCCTCACATCCTGTTATCAAACATATATCAGGGGCATGACCTCCGAACCCTAAGTCAACAATTCGGACTTGGTGTTGCGTTGGAAAAGGATTGGTATTCATCTCAACTGGATCTTCCACTATCACATTACCATCATCTATCATCTTCTGAAGTTTGTTGCGGAATACTATGCAATCATTAATGTTGTGAGTCCATGACATATGGTACTTGTAATATGTCTTCCCAACTACATCCGCTGACTTTGGTTGTTGGTACCCCTTCTTATACTGAATATGGCCTTTCTCAAACATATCATCAAAGATAGCCTCTTCCTGAAAAATATCGAAAGAGTAAACCGTCAAATATTAGCTCCGTTAGCTTGTCCTGGAGTTCCTGCTGGAGCTCCTACCGGTGGAGGAGTGTTACAAGAATGTGGCACTATAGGACGTAATGCATCGCAAGTATAATTTCAGACATTGACGATTTCAGCAGCATTAACGTCATACTCATCATCGTCTTCATCACGGACCCAATAATTTTGATTTACTTCTGCTACTGGATTCTTATTAAACCACTGCTTTGCTTTTCCAAGATTCTTCTCTCGTTTATCTCTGATTACCTTGTCACACCGTCTTACAATATCCACTAAATGATTTAAAGATCGGATTCCTGCGACGCTCATGTGGTACAACAACTAATTTTACCTTGTAATCTTGAATTCCTGCGACGCTCGTTTTAACAATAGTTGGTTCTTCATACTTGTCAGGTATTTTAGCATACATCTGGCGGAACCGAATTAAGCATGCTTCTGCATTTTCTCCAAACTTTTGCCGAATCTCCGACAAGTCCACGATTGACAATCGTGCAGCATCCCTACGGAAATATAATAGGAATTCTCTATGTTGAAAATCCCATGATGGAATAGACCATTGTGCTAATGATATGTACCAATCAAAGGCAGTTCCCTTCAAGGAATAAGGAACCAAACGCAACTTAATTATGGCGTTGTTGCTTACTAAACCACATTGTAACTTGAATAAACTTATGTGATTCTCAGGTCTCCTCTCATCTTTCCCTAAAAACTGTTGAAAATCAGGGATCTTAAAATTTGTTGGTAATGGTTCTCATTCAACAAAATAAGGATATGGCTTTCCAGGGACTTCTGGAATCTCTATTCCAAATTCTTTTCGTACCATATGCTCGACCATCCTTAAAAATGTTTCTTCAACATTCAGAGTTTGTTCAACTCCTACTTCAAAATCATGTTGCTGATTGGCATTCACTGTTGCGTCTAGTTCTTGTCGAAATTCATTACCGATATCCACTCGGTGACGTCCACCCTTTTGGCCAAAAAATCGTTGTTGCTGTGGATTATGCCAAGTGACATTTCCACCATTTTGATTTCCATAAGGACGGCCAACAGCCTGTGCCTTATTGCGATTCAGAATTTGATTTGCTTCATATTCCATCCACTGTTGTTCCTCTATGTTTTCCTCTAGAGTTTGATGCAGTGGAACAATTTGTGGATTAACAACTACACCAGATCCTTGAGGTATATATGGATCATCCAAATTTGTAGCTGCACTAGTACCTGCTGATACTAGTGGCACAACACGATTTTGATACATTATAAAACGGCGATCATTGCTTCCTTATGCATTCTGATCGGCCCGTTCTGGAGTTTCAATAGAAGGACTTGATTGATTCCTGCACTGGTAGGACGTTGAAGAGAAGGTCCAGATGTTCCTTGCGATCCATGAGTTATTCTGGGAACACCTTCTTGCTCAATTACTTGGGGTGGAACCATTGCTGGTCCTTGCTGAGTTTGAACTTGTGGTGTTTGAAATGTCGCACTCTGCAACTGGACCTGATTTTTCACCTGTGCATCGTCACATGTCCATTATACTGAGCAAACAACGGAGGTAACTTACGCCCATCATACGTGAAATTCCTGGGTGGCAAAATAAGTGCAGGTTGACTCAGAACTATTGGATAATACCAACTGTGCAACCCATGCCCTGCCATATTTGCAACAATTTGTAACCTGTTATTATTTGCTCCTGTTCTGGTATTCTGTACCGGAGTATCTGTTGCAGATGTTTGGAATACAGCGTTATATAATGGGTTGTTTATCATGTTAACCGGAGGTACTTCTGCAGGTGTCGTCCCTGTTGCTGTACTGTTTCCCCTCACCATTGATCCACTAGCACAAGTATTTCCTGAGTTCATGTTCTGATCACTTATCATCTGTAGAGCATGTTCAAACCGTGCCACCTGTGTAGCGATATGATGTTCTAGCTCCATAAACCTTTGATGCATCATCTCTGGAGTCATCGGTAGAATCTGATCTGTTTGACCTTGATTATGAAATATCGGAGTTTGGAATGATGGGCTTTATAACCCTGGAGTCTGACAACCCGGAGTTCTCTAAGACCCCAAAAAACTAGATCTTTCCCGAAAAGGCTTGACCCAGCGCTAGACTGTTGCTGATTACACTGTCATCCTATACTGGATGACTGATCTGTTATCACCATTGAGAATGAGTCTATCGTCGAAATATGAGGAAGCGTACTCATCAGCAAAGAACTTCCACTAAATATGAATCGGTGTTGACACTTTTCCCACCGATGATGTTGCTTTTGAGAATTGAGGCATTGACATTGCTCCTTTGTTTGAACAACACCTGGAACAAGCAAATCGGTACCACTGGGTGTGCCAAATTTTATGCTTGAGTCAAAAATGTATTTGAAGGTGAAGACTGATTCGGCTCAAACTAATTTCAAGCGACTGTGTGATATTCTTAAAATCCGGAGTCCAGTAGTTAGAATCCTCCATGGATGTCAATACCTTCGACTTGCAATAAGCTTGTATGTTTAAGTATTTGATGATGAAATAATAAAGAGCTTCAAGAAGATGAATAAAATGGCCAATAAAGGCCAGCTTCACTGAATTGATGAGAACGAATCGGCTGTGAATAGCCAGAAACGTCGAAAAACTTACAAGAATTAATATTGAAAAGTAAAGAAATACATGAAACCATAAAGAAAATAAATGATAAAAGCTGTAATGAAAACCATGAATTGTGTCTTTTGTCGTCTCTCCTTCAAAATGCAACAAAAGTCGAATATGATAAGGACTTTTGTTGCAGTTGGAATCCTTCTCAAACAAGGATTGCAACGTCGACAATTCTTTTTGCAATTCAAACTGTCGACCGCCGCTTCTTCTTCAATTTTCTCGCGGGCTTATTAATTTCTTTGCTCCCCTTATTGTTTCTACGATCGGCCCAACTTGTGTGGACCAGATTTACCAAAATCGGTCCAACAGATATATTCTAGAATTTCAAGAGCTAAATAATGTCATACCTTTTTCCTTTGTCTCAAAAAAAAAAAAAAAAAAACAAAAACACATATTTCTAGTATCGTTCTAGCTCAACAAACTAAATCCTTGTTTTCTGAAATTAAAGGAGTACAATTTTTGAATTCCTCTTTCTTAAAAAGTGAAACTTCCAGCAAGTAAACAAAGAGAAAAAAAAAACAGGTAGACGGTCCGTTAATAACGTTTTTTGAATTTTTTCATAGTAACCGATTAACTAACCAATTAAGTATCGGTTACGGCGGTTTTTGTTAAATAGTTCCGGTTGTATTACCGGTTTTCAACGGTTAAACCGATAAAGTTTTAATACTTTAAAAAAGGTATGTGTATATTCTAATTTCTAACAATTTCACCAAACTAGGGAAAGAATATATAAAAACAAACATACACAATCATTTTAAAGAACATCTTCGTAAAGAAATAACAACAAAATCTTGAACGAGACCCTCAATTATATAATGGCCTCTCAATGAAATTATATCTCAAAATTATTAAAAAGAAAAAAAAATTAATCATTTGTCAACCATGTTTAATTACATCACATCCATATGTATCTATTAAAATGATATATGAAGCTGAATGTGCCGAACAAAAGTAACGGTTAATCGGTTAAACCGATGGAGGTGATGTCTCAATCAGAAACCAAACCATTTAACCTATAGAAACCAATTAACCAAGACCGTCTAACCGCCTTAACCGTTAGTTGCAGTTAAACAGTTTGGTTTTGGATGATTTACGGTTTGCTTAAATGGTTCTGGTTTTTTTTGAACACCCATGATCGTGGACAAAGAAATGGAGCTCAGTGATCTTTTGTTTTGCATGATGCTCAATATTCTCATGAAACCATTTTTCTACCACTTGTGCTCTCATTGTCAACAATGCTAGCATTAGCTAAAGAAGGAGCCATGCTAATGTATTTAATAACTTTAAATTGATTTTTTTTTGTGTGTGTATTGTCTGAAGCGTTTGATGGAAATAAGGTTGAAGATTCATCAGTGATATCCCCATAGCCTAAACCACTCTATTGATACAGATTCAGTACCATACTAGTTTAATTTCCTGTTAGAAGTGGAAATAGTTAACTGAATAAAAGAGTTTAAAACTTTATCCCTAAGAGACCTTGAGCGGAAGAAAAACACGTGTGCTATGTTTCATTTGGACCATTCCTTTTTGGGACTTTTCTTGGTCATTTTTACCGAAATAAGCTGCTGTTGAATTCCTATATATGGAATAAATATTCTTTTAATGAAAATCAGTTCATGGTATAGTACTAATCTTTCTGCAGCCACGGTTACAAGTTAATATTTTACTCGACAAAAATATGCTTTTAGGCCATCTCGGCAATGGTTCTTTGTTTTGGTTTTCTCTTTGTCCATTTATTTATCTTTTTCAATGTTTATCCACTTATACATGTCATGTACATTTATCACTAGAGCTACTTACCAATTGTTTATTAATTGGTAAACAAAACGGTAAAAAAAAAAATTTCCTCATATCTTTTGGTGTCTATTTATCATTCTCGCTGATTATAGTTGGCACGTGACATCTATAAATCAATTAAGATTATTATATAAACTAAAATATGGCTAAATTAATTATCACTAAATTAATAACTTCGAGTTATTAATAATTTTCTAACATCTCAACTTGGACCAATGCGAAAAGTGAGAAAATCAATAAAATAAAAAGATAATAATATTTTAAAAATCCTCTATATACCTATTGGTTTGGATAATCTTATAATTAATACTAAAATGTTTTAAAAATCCTCTATATACCTATTGGTCCGGACAATCTTATAATTAATACTTACCCTAAATCAAAATAACAATAAATAATAATAACTATAAATATTAAATAAATATGAACCATTGATATTTGTTTCTTTAGTCTTTGAAATTGAGATGAACTTTGTATTATTTTCGAATCAAGAACTGACTCTGTTTCGTCACCTGATCAACGCCTTAAAGTGAAACACTTTCTTCTGATAACACCAGAACCAAAAACTCTAGTTTTCTTCTTGTTTTCCTTCGCACAAAATAATGTGCGGCTGCCCAAGTTTTCTTTCTCTCTCGTCTAAAAACAGATACACAAATTATGCACAATGCCTTGCTTTTATAGAGCAAAGCCAAAAAAAATAAAACCTAATTGGAGTAGGTTTTGTTTTCATCCGTCAAACCCAAACCAAAGTCCAAGTTGACTTGGTTTTATTTCCCTTTTCTTTGTTGGTACAATTGAACAGGAACCAGGCCCAACATTAGTATCTTGTATGTTTGTTTGGATGATTTTCAAAAATTTTACAAATATCTTCTGGATAAAAATCCACAGCGACCTGTGTGGTTCAGATATGTATATATAGGTACTTTATAACGTTCCTAGTAATCAAGGCATGATTTCTCAGGAATTTTACTTTATATATATATATATATATATATATATCTGAAGGAGAACCAATTTCGAAAAGAATGAAATTCAAAGAAAACAATGCTTCATAAAAGAAGATAGAGCATATGTTAAAATCGAATATTTTTCAATTTATTCATGAATATAGAGAAGATGATTACAAATGAAATTCGTCAAGTAACGATTACGTTCAAACAGATGGCTTTGCGAAAAATTTTCCAGAGGAAAACTTGAGTAGCTAACTAGTAATAAATGCATAAAATTAAAACACAACTATGAGTTGAGAGCCATGGATCAATTTTGCAGGGAATCAGTAATGCTGAATGATGGCATGGTACTCAAGAATGTCATTCAGCTTTGCAATGTCAACAGTAACTGTATCCACTGTGGCAATCCCGCGAGCCATGCAAAATACTCCGGTACCTCCCAATATTGGCATTTCTCTGTAATCATGAGATATTGGGTTATTCCCTAGAATGCTTAGAGAACTTCCCTTGAAATCTCCTTCCGTGAACACCAAATTGATAGCCATAGATAAGACAGGTTCAGCTTGACCTGCAAAGGTAAATGTACCTTGGGCTCGACCAATGAGTTCGGAACTAGGATCTGAATCCAAAGTGATCGGAGCATCCATAGCGTAGGTTGAACCGAAAGCGATAGACGCACTATTGTTGGTGTTAGATGGGGCTATAAGAACGGACGTAGGATTGTCGGCGGTAACGTTGTCATGGACAAAGAAATGGAGTTTGGTGAGCTTAGATTTTGCATGATGCTGAATGTGGTCATGGAACCATTTCTCTACTATTTCTGGGTTGCTCTCATGATCAACATTGTTACCTTTGATAGCCAAAGAAGGAGACATGATAAAATGCTATGTTTTAGACTGAATGTTTTCTTTGAGTAGTTTTGAAATGTTTGATGAAATGCTATGTCAAAGAGTTGTGTGATATCTCTCCATGGCCTTCATATCTCTATTTATACTAACTCGTCAACATATTGGTAGTGCCTAGTACAAGCGGAAATGGTTGACTAAATCAAAAGCTTTAAAACTTGTCCATTTTCTCTTTCTAAGCAGCCTTGACCATATATATAAGTCACGATTCACGTGGACTATGGACCATTTCCTATAATGAAAATTTCTCCGTGAATTAATTGCTTAATGATTATTAGCCATTAATTACTGAAAGTGGATTGTTTCGATAGAGAATGTTATAAATCCATAGATACCATTTCAGTTAATATCATTTACGCAGCTGAGACATCGCTTTTGGCAATAGCATTTAACAGAATCATATTTACGGTTGATATCAAAGAATTTTACATTGAGTTTTCATTATCCAATAGAACCTCGACCATGACCAAACAAGCTGCTTGGAATAATGTGCTTTCATTATCCAATAATGAGTTTTCATTATCTAACAGAATTATATTTGTGGTTGGACCATTCCTTTTTGGGAATTTTCTTGGTCATTTTTACCGAAATAAGCTGCTGTTGAATTCCTAAATATAGAATAAATATTCTTTTAATGAAAATCAGTTCACAGTATTCTTTCCGCAGCTACGATTACAAGTTAATATCAATTTACTCGATATAAGATATACTTTGAGGCCATCTCGGCAATGTTTTTCATTTTGGTTTTCTCTTATCCATTGATTTATCTTTTTCAATGTTTATCCACTTATGGTTGTCCTTGTACATTTAACACTAGGGCAACTCACCAATAGTTTATCAATGGGTAAACAAAATGGTAAAAGAATTTTCTTCATATCTTTAGGTGTCTATAATAACCATTTATCATTCTCGTTAATTATAGTTGGTACGTGACATCCATAAATCAATTAAGATTATATCCAGTAAAACGTCGCTGAATTAATAATTTTTAAATTAATAACTTCAAGTTATTAATAATATTCTCTCATCCCAACTTTGAACCAATGCGAAAAGTGAGAAAAATCCATAAATAAAAGATAATAATATTTTAGAAAATCCTCTATATACCTACGATTTCAGGGGTGCTCACATGATCAACATTGTTACCGTTAACCAAATTAGGAGACATGATTATTTCAATAGCTATAGCTTGAATGTTTTGTGTGTTGTTTGAAGTATAGTTTCTGAAAATATTGTTGAATCTTTTGTGATATCTCCATGGCCTTCATATTTGCATGTATTTATACAAATTTATCATCCTATTAGTTCCCTAGCAGAAATAGTTGACTAAATCAAACAGTTGAAAACTTGGACATTATCTTAAAGCTACCTTGACTGAATGATAAGTATGCAGCAACTATCTTATGCGTCACATGGACCACCGAGTTTTGGGACTTTTCAAGGTCAATTCACCGGAATAAGCAACCTTAAATTTCTAAATAAAGAATGATAGTACAATCAAGGAATGGTATTAATCCTAAAAATTATCAAATTCAATACTATTCAAATTGAATGCATGCATCGGAATGTTGCAATTTGCAGTAGCAACCTCTTGCCACTGGGTATGGTTACAAGTCAAAGGTAACAGTTTCGCCTTTGGTTTTCTAATTAATTACCAATTCATCTTTGGTAATATTTTGGGGTGCAGACTATTCAAATTTCTATCTTTTCTACTTTCACATCAAAATATGTGTTCTATTCCATCTAGTTGGAAAAAAAATCTGGAAGCGAAAAAACAAAAAAAATGATAAAAGTTCATAAAGAAAAATGTGGGTAAAAAGAGAATAGTCCATGTATGTTTAAACCTAACAGCTAGGATTTTTTTATATGAGAAAATGATTTGACAGTCGTGCAAGTCGTGTCACGTAGTTGATCATTGCGGTTTACTTATTTCTTTGTTTTGGTTTCAGCATTCCATGAAAAAATAATGTAATTTATTTAAGAAATTAATATTTAATTCTTATAAGATAATGTTTAGATGAATAAGAAAATTTTAGAAAATCTTATGTGCCACGAGATAATGTTGGCCATCCTAAGAAATGGTATTCTTTTACGAGTGATGATACGCAACTCATCGAATTAATCTCATCTTACATGCCATTTAATTATTAGGTGAAATTTAACAAATGAATTTAGTTTTTCTTAATAAATTTATAGACATTTTTTTATATTTTAATATCTAAAATCTTAAAATAACTAGATCCAAACTCCGGAAAAAGTAAACCCTTTATAAAAAAATTATAATAATATAAATGATTGACACGTGAAGTTAGATATAAGGGTGAGATGAATATCATTTTCCATCTTTTATTACTAGTGATGTCTGGTCGCGCAATGCGCGACCCTGACCCAATATATCTGTACATCTTAGAAATGTTTGTATCTGAAAAGAAATATTTTGTATTTGGCGCGATATATTTTAGAAATGTTTGAAAAAATTAGAAATATTTTATAAGTGTGATCATAGAAATATTTGTGTTTAGCATAAAAAGAAATTTTATTTGACCTGGTACGTTTTAGAAATGTTTGAAGATTTTAGAAATGTTTTATAAGTGTTACTTCTTAAATATAAATAAACTTGATCGAATATATGTCTTGAATTAAATGCTAGACAAAATATAAAAGCATCCTAATAAGTTTAAATATTAGGAAGATAATTTATTGATGTTCTCCGGTTGTCCAAATCAATACTTAGTTTTGGAGATTTATAATAGTTTTGTAGTAAGTTTCCTCCCAAGGGTATACGCTCAATTGTTGAAACTATTTCTTCCAAAAGTTTATAATTAGTAAAATATCAAAAATATGATTTTGAAACTGGTTAATTGATGAAATTGGTTGATCACAAATATGAGAATGAAAATAATGTAAATTTGCATAGGTTTCAAGTTATACAAAAAAAAAACTCACCTCACCATGGCAAATAAAAAAAAGAAAATAAAAGATAGACCATTTAAAATTGAAAAATTTATTCCTTTCTGTAGGTAAAAATGTTGTATAAAAATACAAATAAACGTGAAAACATCATTCTTTCCCTCTCCGCCTCAAATTCATAAAAGGCTTTCTCAGAAATTAGTTAGAAGAAGCGACTTGAACTATTTAGATGATGAGAAACTAAAAAAATCCAAAAACCAAAATTCAAAAAGTATATTCTTGAAAGCCCAATAACAAAAAAAAAACGCGCTTTATTTGCAAATAAAATAAAATAATAATAATAATAATTGGTCACTGGGAGTATGAAACAAAATAAAAAACAATTAAACAAAGAAAAAGCACAATTCGTAACTGACCATATACGAAAAAAAAAAAACTGAGACTCTATAATAAAAAAAAAAAAAAGAAAACCACTCTAATTGAATGAATCATTAAAAAGAAATTTAAAAAACCACACTTTGTAACAAAAACTCAATTAATCAATTCAATCCAAACAGAACGAAAATCATACAAAACTTCTAGACTAACTAACGATATAAGAAATCACATTATATTATCTGACAACAGCTACGGTAGCTGTAACAGATGGAGGCATAAAAATAATAGTAATAACACTATTCTTGAACGGGAAAAGCAAAAAATAATAAAAGCCAAACAAATGATTTGTGGAAATAAAATCATTTAAATTTTAATACCTGTAATTGCACCACCACAATGGCCGAAGCAAGACCAATGAGAATTTTTTTTTTCCTTGGTGTTTATATAGAAAGGTAAATAGAATAATTTTTTAAGTCGAAATTTATCTGATCAAGATGTAGTTGATCATCACTAATGAAAAGATTGAATGTAGTTGATCATCACTAATGAAAAGATTGAATATGCTAATAGGAAATGAGTATATTTCACCACATATTATCAATTGATGATTGATGAGGAATTTTTTTTTTTTTTTATTGTGGAGAAGGGATTGATTAGGGAATCGATTATCGTGGAGATGGGGATGAGGATTTGGGTTTTTTATGAACCCGTCTTTTTTTTTTTTGTTTTGGTAAAAATAGGAGGTGGAGGTGGATTTGGACTGCATTTGCCTTTTAAGTCTAGGAGATGTGAAAATAAAGATTTATTTTAAAAATATGATATGGAAATGCCACATGGCAAATGGTGGTGTTTTCTCTTAAGTGTGGTTTTTGTTTCTAATATAGTAAAATATACTACTTCGGTTCTATAAAAGATAGTCCACATTATTATAAATAAGACTTATACAAGTAATCAAATGTTTAGAGATAATGTTTAGTTTACCATTATTGTTATTTGCTCTTATCCTTATATCAATTGTGTTTAATGTTGACACGAGATTGATGTCACGTGACGATCGCCTGGGCAATTAATTTTATATTAGCTTATAGACAAATCAAATTCAAAACTTTGTTAGAAGAATTATAGCAATTACGACGTTATGTTAAAAAATAAAATTTTCAACACCTCAATAGTTATTCTATACATATACTCCCTCTGGTTCTTAATATAAGTCATTTTGATTTGTTTTAGGTTTAACGTAGTACGTATTTTTAATTGATAAAATTTTTATTAAAATGTTTCATAATAACCAAGAGAATACAACGAACGTGAAAATATATATTTTAAGATTTTTTCGTCAATTAAATATGCCTATTAGGTAAAACATAGAACAAAATCAAAATACCTTATATTAAAGACTAGAGGGAGCTTATATATATATATATATGAGGCAGTTAATCACTCCCTCCATCTAAAAAAAAAAAAACATCCCTTTATGTGTAAGTTCAACAAATAGTATATATTTTTGGCTCATTATTCCACCAAATACAATCACCAACCATTAAAAAGGGAATGGGAATGCCATGCTAGACTCTGCGATTTGACAGCTTCTAAATAAAGAATATAGGAAGCAAAACTGCATCATGATTTCTAAAGCAAATTTTTTGACAAAGTATCTAATATCCTTGGTAGCTAGCACAGGGTCCTCGTCAAAAAAAATTATATTACTCATTCAACCAAGGAAATTAGTTTACATTTAGTTTTAAACTGTTTCAAAACTCAATGTGAACTATTTCTATAAAATGAAAAGAGCACCAAATAAACGTAGATTTCGGTTATGTCCGACCTTTCATTCATTTGGTGGTGTAGTAAGGTGAGATATAAGGGCGAGATGAATATCATTTTGCATCTTTTATTATATACTACTTCTATTCTTTAAAAGAAACTCCACATTATTATAAGAGAAATGATACAAATAGTGAGAAAAAATAGTGAAAATATATAGTGACTGATGTGTTCAGTATATTATTTCACTAAGAATATTATTTTTCTTAATATAAATAAGGCTTGTACATGTAATCAAATGTTTAGGGATAATATTTAGTTTACCATTATTGTTATCTGCGCTTATCTTTGTATCAATTGTATTTAATGGTGACACGAGATTGATGTCACGTGAAGACCGTCTGGCCAATCAGATTATATAAAACTAATTGGCCACGTAGCTTTTATATTAGCTTATCGACAAATCAAATTCAAATCTTTGTTAGAAGAATTATAGCAATTTCAACGTTATCATAGAAAATAAAATTTTCAACACCTCAATAGCTATTCGGTATATATACTCCCTCCGGTCCTTAATATATCCCCCTGAATCCTATACACTTAAACAACTAGACCCTAACCGACAAGGAAATGCTTAAACCTCCCTGCATCCTAAATCCTAAACAATTAGACCCTAACCGACACGGAAATGCTTAAACCCCCTTGAATCCTAAACACTTAAACAACTAGACCCTACCTGACACGGAAATGGTTAAACCCCCCTAAACCCTAAATACACTATTTTTTTTTTGATTTGAAATTTTTTTAAATCAATTAGGCTAGGCTAGGGTCTCGTGACCCTAGCATAATTAATTTAATAAAATTTATAAGGTTAATCGTGTTACGGCACAAACTAGGCCCTAATCGACACAGAAATGCTTAAACTCCATAAACCCTAAAACTTAAAAACCTAGACCCTAACCGACACCGAAATGCTTAAACCCCCTAAATCCTAAACACACTAATTTATTTATTTTTTTGTTTAAAAAAATTATTGGTTAATCATGTTATAGGACAAACTAGGCGTTAACCGATAAGGAAATGTTTAAACCCCCCTAAACCTTAAATCATAAACAACTAGACCGTGACCGAGAAGGACATGCTTAAACGCTTCTAAACCTTAAATACACTTTTTATCTTTGGCCTTTGGTCTTTACTCCTCACACACGCTCGCTTTTAATTTTGGTCTTTGTTCTTTGCTCTTTGGTCTTTAGGTTTTGTAAATGTTTTTTGGTCTCTGGTCTTTGGATTTCAGTCTTTGGTATTTGGTCGTTGGGCTTTGGTCTTTAGTCTTTGGTCTTTGGTGGTTGGCCTTCGGTCTTTGGTCTTCGGTATTTGCTCTTTAGTTTTTGGTGTTTGGCCTTTGCTCCTCACACAACGCTCGCTCTTTCACTCTGGTCTTTGGTCTTTAGTTTTTGCTCTTTGATCTTTGATTTCTTAATCTTTGGTCTTTGGTTTTTTGTCTTTGTTCCTCACACATGCTCGTTCTATACTCTGGTCTTTGCTCTTTGCTCTTTGGTATTCAATTTTTGGTCTTTGACCTTTGGTTTTTGGTCTTTTTTATAGGTCGTGGTCATAAAAGAAACAAGTAAGACCAAAATGTCTTTTAGTAAGACCAAGGTTACTGCATAAATTTTTTTACGTTTCGAGAAACATATTCATGACGGATCTAGTTGGATAGATCTCATCGAATACTATCAAAATGATATAAGACATTTGATATAATTCTTTACGGGTTGAGAAAAAAATCATTTGAAGATTAAAAACTTTTAAAACCCATTTTCTAAAAATAAGGAAGAGTAGTGCGTGTATTTCATCTAACTACATGTATTTAATGTGCATGGTATAATTTTCATTTTTGGCTCATTATTCCACGAAATACAATCCCCAACCATTAAAAAGGGAATGGGAATGCCATACAAGACTCGTTGGTGCGATTTGACAGCTTCTAAATAAAGAATATAGGAAGCAAAACTGCATCATGATTTCTAAAGCAAATTTTTTGACAAACTATCTAATATCCTTGGTAGCTAGCACAGGGTCCTCGTAAAAAAAAATTATATTACTCATTCATCCAAGAAAAATAGTTTACATTTAATTTTAAACTTTGTCTCAAAACTCAATGTGAACTATTTTTATGAAATGTAAAAAGCACCAAATAAATGCACATTTCGGTTATGTTCGACCTTTCATTCATTTGGTGGTGTAGTAAGTCCCAAAGTGATCATCAAAATTAAATAAGAGAAAATATTTAAGTTAAGTACTTTTCCAATTTATTCAGTAATATATAAAGGAAACGTTACAAATGAAATTGATCACGGGCGATTAGTACATAGATGGATGTGCAAAAATGTTCCATGAAGGAAAATTTGTGCAGCTACCTGGAAAAGAATAAATAAAACTAAAACATATAATTATAAGTCGACTGAAAATTGATCAAGCAACAGTATGATCAATCAAGGGAATCAGTAATGTTGAACGATGGCATGGTACTCAAGAATGTCATTCAGCTTTGCGATGTCAACAGTAACAGTATCCACGGTAGCAATCCCACGAGCTAAGCGAAATACTCCGGTACCTCCCAATATTGACATTTCTCTAAAGTCATGAGATATGGGGTTATTCCCTAGAATGCTCAGAGAACTTCCCTTGTAATCTCCTTCCGTGAACACCAAGTTGATAGCCATAGACAGTACAGGTTCAGCTTGACCCACAAAAGTAAATGTGCCTTGAGCTCGACCGATGAGTTTGGAACTTGGATCTGAATCCACAGTGATCGGAGCATCCATAGCGTAGGTTGAACCAAACGTAATGGATGATATATTGTTAGTGTTGGCTGGAGCAACAAGAAGAGACGTTGGCTTATCAGCTGTAACATTGTCATGGACAAAGAAATGGAGCTTGGTCAGCTTTGGTTTTGCATGATGCTGAATGTGGTCGTGGAACCACTTCTCTACAATTTCAGGAGTGGTTTCAAGATCAGCATTAATGTTAGCAGCATTTGCCAATGAAGGTGCCATATTGATGATTTCAATAACTCTAGCTTGAATGTTTTGGTGATAGTAGTTTTGAAGTGTTAGTGATGAAATGATGTTGAAGATTGTGTGATATCTCCATGGCCATTATATCTCTTTTTATACCAATGCATTAACGTACAATCTAGTTTCCCAGTAAACATAGAAGATTGAAAAGTTGTCCATTATCCCTTTCCTTGTAGCTGTGCCCAGAACAAAAGTGGACCATTTCTGTATTGGACATTTCTTGGTCAATTCATGCCGGAAGGATAAGCCATCGTTTTCTAAATATGGAATTTTAGTAGGGAATGTTATTAATTTATAAGTCACTAAATATACAATTTGAACGTAAGTTGGATGAACTCAATTTGAATTCTCAGTCACAAATATGAATAAAATATACTCACAGCGTCCAAAGAAAATTATTTACATTGTAATTTGTACATTGAACTTTTTTTTTCTTGGTGATTTATCCAATTACTAGTAAGCAACCTTGACCATGACTTGTAGAATCATGTCTTATATATAGACAATTTCTTGTCGGACTTTTCTGAGTAAAATATTTTTTTAAGCAGATGGAGGCATTGTTGATCTTAAATATGACCTGTTGCATCCACTTGTAGTTCCAAGATGGTGTTTACGTAATTGCATGCATGGGATATCTTTGACTCTTCTAGGGGGAAAAAATACAATATAAGCGGTGACCTGAAAAACTCATCGATCTCTTTTATTACACTCCTTCGGTTATCACAGAAGATTACACAAGATTCTGGAGTTAGTTCAGAGATCAATATGAATATTGAGTTGAAATATGTTCATAGATAAAGCACTCATGTATCCCTTACATTTAAATATGAGTAAATCTATTCCTTTCATACCCAGACGACATTCAAATTATTCAATCCTTCAACTTTAGGAGAACACTGATCACTAAGCTAAACCCTCCCCGTGGTTGTTTATTAAGCCTTGCGGCGAGTTATTATGGTGGGATTTGAATGGGACTTGTTTTCGTAATTATAAATTAATTTGGGTTCTCATGCATTTTGGAATCAATTACTTTCTCTGATGTGAAATTATTGTCCAATTTAAATTTTTATTTTAAGTACAAATTGAACTAAAAATGAATATCTAAAGAGAATAATAATTTTGTGATAAATAAAGTAATATATAGTCTGAGAGAAAAATCTTCTTTCACTTATTTGGCTGGTTCAAAAGAAATTAGCGACATTACTCGAGGCGCCGTTTGAGAAACTAGTGAAATTCAAACATTTTACAAAACTTTTAGTTTGATATATTCTCAAATTTATAGAAATGAAACAGTAATTTCTTCCGTTTGAGTAGACAGAAAAAACATGTTTCTTTTTTTTTTTTTTTTTTTTGCAAATTGCAAGAAAAAAAATCATGTTTCTAGTATCATTGTAGCTCCACGAACTAACTCCTTTTTTTTGGAAATTGAAGGAGTACTATTTTCGAATTCATCTTTCTTAACAAGTGTAATTTTGTTACAATATCAGGAACCAGAAGCTGATGACTTCAAGTTGGCAGCAATACAGCATAAGAAGGATGAGCATGCATGCATGGAATCCGAACCGACTTCAGCACCCTTAACTTGGGAAAGTTCCCTTGCTACACGTGATCATCGATCTTTCCACCAACTGTTTAATCCCGCCAACTGTAACCGACCTTGAAGGGGTTGTTATTGGAAATTAACATCAATTCCACGTCATCAATCTTGGAAATTAAAACAGATTTATGTGAAAAACCCAAATCAGAAAAAATCATGGGACTGTAACAACAGTCAAATCTCCACTATCACAATAATTGGAAAACAGTCTTCACCAACCGGTGGATACACGGGACTTCACATAAAAGTGGATTACAATAATACTCTTCCAAAATACACCTAGACCACAAAGTAGGATTGGAAAGATCTCACCAAAAGAGAGCTAATCTGAAAACTAAACCGGCGAATTTGTAGATCTTGTTGAGAAGAACACACATGTAAACTTGCACCAATAACTGACTCTGTTTCGTCACCAGATCAAATCTTTAAAGTGAAACATTTTCTTCTCACAACACCAGAACCCAAAACCCTAGTTTTCTTCTTGTTTTCCTTCACACAAAATAATGTACGACTGCCCAAGTTTTCTTTCTCTCTCGGCTGAAAACCCATGCACAAATTGTGCACAAAGTCTGGCTTTTGTTGAGCAAAGCCAAAAAAAAAAAAAAAACTAAAACCTAATTGGAGTAGGTTTTGTTTCCATCCATGAAACCCAAACCAAAATCCAAGTTGAATTGGTTTTATTTTTCTTTTCTTTGTTGGCCCAAATGAAGGGGAAACAGGCCCAACATTAATATCCTATATGTTGGTTTGGATGATTTTAAAATATTTTATAAATATCTTTTGGGTCAAAATCCACAACAACCTGTGTGGTTCACATGTATATGTAGGAACTATATAACGTTCCTAGTAATCAAGGCATCCTTTCTCAGGAATTTCACTTTTTATTTATCTGTAGGAGAACCAATTTAGAAAAAAGTGAAATTCAAAGAAAACAAGGCTTCGTAAAAGAAGAGAATATTTTTCAAGTTATTCACGAATATATAGAAGATGATTACAAATGAAATTTGTCAAGTAACGATTACGTGCAAACAGATGGTTTTGCGAAAAAATTTCCCAAAGGAAAACTTGAGCAGCTAACAAGTAATAAATGCATAAAATTAAAACACGAGTATGAGTTGAGAGCCATGGATCAATCCTGCAGGGAATCAGTAATGCTGAATGATGGCATGGTACTCAAGAATGGCATTCAGCTTTGCAATGTCAAAAGTAACTGTATCCACTGTGGCAATCCCGCAAGCCATGCGAAATACACCGGTACCTCCCAATATTGACATTTCTATGTAATCATGAGATATTGGGTTATTTCCTAGAATGCTTAGAGAACTGCCCTTGAAATCTCCTTCCGTGAACACCAAATTGATAGCCATAGATAAGACAGGTTCAGCTTGACCTGCAAAGGTAAACGTGCCTTGGGCTCGACCAATGAGTTTGGAACTCGGATCTGAATCCACAGTGATCGGAGCATCCATAGCGTAGGTTGAACCGAAAGCGATAGACGCAATATTGTTGGTGTTGGTTGGGGCTATAAGAACGGATGTAGGATTGTCGGCGGTAACGTTGTCATGGACAAAGAAATGGAGTTTGGTGAGCGTAGGTTTAGCATGATGCTGAATGTGGGCATGGAACCATTTCTCTACTATTTCAGGGTTGCTCTCATGATCAACATTGTTACCTTTGATAGCCAAAGAAGGAGACATGATAAAATGCTATGTTTTAGAATTTGAATGTTTTCTGTGAGTAGTTTTGAAATGTTTGATGAAATGTTATGTCGAAGAGTTGTGTGATATCTCTCCATGGCCTTCGTATCTCTATTTATACTAACTCGTCAACATATTAGCAGTGCTTAGTGAAATGGTTGACTAAATCAAAAGCTTTAAAACTTGTCCATTTTCTCTTTCTAAGCAGCCTTGACCATATATATTAGTCACGATTCACGTGGACTATGGACCATTTCCTATAATGGAAATTTCTCCGTGAATTAATTACTTAATGATTATTAGCCATTAATTACTGAAAGTGGATTATTTCGATAGAGAATGTTATAAATCCGTAGATGCCATTTCAGTTAATATCATTTAGCAGCTGAGACGTCGCATTTGGCAATAGCATCTAACAGAATTATATTTACGGTTGATATCAAAGAATTTTAAATTGAGTTTTGATTATCCAATAGAACCTCGACCGTGACCAAACCAGCTGCTTGGAATAATGTGCTTTCACTATCTAATAATGAGTTTTCATTATCTAATAGAATTATATTTATGGTTGGACCATTCCTTTTTGGGACTTTTCTTGGTCATTTTACCGAAAAAGGCTGCTGTTGAATTCCTAAATATAGAATAATATTCTTTTAATGAAAATCCGTTTACAGTATTCTTTCCACAGCTACGGTTACAAGTTAATCTCAATTTACTTGATATAAAATATGCTTTGAGGCCATCTCGGCAATGTTTTTCATTTTGGTTTTCTCTTATCCATTGATTTATCTTTTTCAATGTTTATCCACTTATGCTTGTCTTGGTACATTTAACACTAGGGCAACTCACCAATTGTTAATCAATAGGTAAACAAAATGGTAAAAGAATTTTCTTCATATCTTTAGGTGTCTATAATAACCATTTATCATTCTCGTTAATTATAGTTGGCACGTGACATTCATAAATCAATTAAGATTATATACAGTAAAATGCCGCTGAATTAATAATTTCTAAATTAATAACTTCAAGTTATTAATAATATTCTCTCATCCCAACTTTGAACCAATGCGAAAAGTGAGAAAAATCCATAAATAAAAGATAATAATATTTTAGAAAATCCTCTATATACCTATTGGTCCGGAGAATCTTATAATTAATACTTACCCTATATCAAAATAACAATAAATAATAATTATTATAAATATTTCGTAAAGAATGAACTATTGACATTTTTTTATTTAGTCTCCAAAAATAACATGAACTTTGTATTATTTTAGCCTCGCGAAGAGTTTCAATACTTGCTTGATTCGAATGATAAAGATAATTGAGAATTAGGTCATTTTGTGACGATTTTTTTCTTAAGAATTTTTTTAAATTAATAAGTTACTTAATTGATTGATTGTTTAATAATTTTTTAAAATAATAGAATTTTGTGCTTCCAACAGTAAAATAAAAAAAAATAGTTCTACTGTATTTGGGATTGAGCTACAATTATTATCAAAGGTGAATTTTTCTCGATCGCTTGGTTGGATTTCTGCCGGCCCAAAAGTTTATATCGCCAAATGTAGGTCATTATTAAGAATTTCCATTCTTTTCATGGCCCTAGAAATTAAAGAAAGAAATTCATCAATCTCATATATAGCTTTCAGTAATTAGCTAGTTTAAAACCTACTTACTCCAATCTACAATTAGATGCAACTTGAATAAAAGATTTCATCATTTCAATTCTTTTAAGGCCAGGCTACGCCGAAACAG